AATATTATGATGTCCTGAGTGTCTTATTCTGAAGCCTCAGCCAAGATGTTATAACTTTATTAGGCCAACAACTAAACACTTATTTAAATATTTTGGACCAGCGCGAAAAATACCTTGAAAAATAAAAGTGAATGCCTATCCATAACCAAGAAGCTTATCCTCGTCCTGTATGGATTTCTTTTGCGACTGGCGTCATGTCAGGTGTCTTGACACTTGGAGCCGTCCACTGCGGAAGGTTCAGAGCAATTGAAAATGTGGTGGAAACTCTTCTTTTGGACATTGAAGGTGGGTTACCTATTGTGATTAGCAAGACTTTTCTAGGTACTCAAATTAAAAAGGTCTAGAACGTCGTCTGTTGCTAAAACGTGACAAACTCTCCTATTCCGTTGAATGTAGAAGTCATACAGGCAGAATTAGATCTGGCAGATGTTGTATTCAGGCCCGCTTGGAAATCTCACTTTATTACACTCTATTAATGTCATATAAACTTTTTAGCACGTGTATCACATGAACGAAGTCATTTACGCCCGGATGCCGCTGCCACTAAGTGCTCATTGTATAGCGCACGCAAACGTTTCACCTGAAATTGTTGAGTATAGGACTGATAGATAAAGAAAACGCTGCAAGACAATTTCTTTACTCGAAAACTAAAAGGGTACACAACTAAAAGTTGAATGACTATATAATATTCATCTAAGCCTATTAAAAGCGGAGGAAGTGCTTGGGCTCGAGGTGATAGGAGCTAATGCATTTTTCACAGGTATAATAGGCACCGAAACTTGTATTGGAGCTAAAAAACTGGACCTCTGCCTTGATGGGCTCATAATTTGTCTCCTTTTCGAAAGACTCGGCTTCTGCTTGAAGGCGGGCGTTCTTCTCAGTGAGCATTTCTAATTCTCGTTGTAAGCTTCTGATCTGAAAAAAACCACTCAAAGTACAGCATTGATAGATACAGTATTTCACGATAATTTCAGTCTAAAAAGCAAACATGGAAGCCCACTTTGCACCCACCTCAGCGTATTCAGGATTACTCTCAAGTTGCTTATTAAGGTTTCTCAGCTCCTCTTCAAGGGCGTCTCGACGCTGCCGGACACCAGGCAATGTCCGCTCTAAGATATCACGATTCTCGTCGAGTTTCTGGAAAGAGTGAAGTTAAGTATTCCTCCGACACGAAAAGTGGCAATGAACAAACGATTCTAAAGGAAAGACAATTCAAAAAACAGTGTCGAACGACGTGAAGTAGTGATAGTCATCGCTTTGTAATGCACGCAGAAATCTACATCCACCTGTTTTCATCTGCTGATCCATGTAAAAATATGACCAAGCAAGCTAAGATTGTCATGTCACCTCGAGTAGACCTACCTTACCTTCTTTCTAGCTTTTCAGGGCTATAATTTCGGTGCCATCAAATCATGTTAA